CTGCTGCGGGAGGCGCGCGCGCTTGCATTGCTGTTGCCCGCGCCACGACGCAAGCTCGCCGCTTACTCCGTCTCTAAGGTACGACCAATATGTACAAAGTCGTGGATAAGCGTTAACTTACCAACCCTATGTTATGTACAACAGATTTTCTTAAATTTATGACCAGGGTTACCGAAGCTAATAGAATAAATGTCAATCATTGTAGTTCATCTGAATTTGTAACTCCTAGTACTAGTGGAAAAGGAAACTGCAGTAAAATATGTGAAGGCATTTCAAAAGAGCCCTGTGTACACGAAGTACCAACCAAGGTTTCCATAAACGAGATTCCTTCACGCACTGAAGCCGTAATTCAAACTAATGCATCCAATGTTTTTGTTCCCAACAGGTCATCGGCACGATATTCGGCAAAAACAGCAAGAGTGTCCGAAAGAAACGACCGTCGTTAAGTATTTAAGAAAACTATTTATACATTTAATTATTAAAACCATGGACTGCTAAATTCGTATATTAGAATAGTGTAAGCAAACATTACTTGGAACTATATGTGGAGTTAAATAATTGTGTTTGTTAGTAATTCTTTTGTAAAATAAAGAAATTGCAAAATGTAATGATCGGGGTGCCATGTGCATTTTTCTATCTAAATAGATATGTAAAATGATATCTTATATGACTTTAATATGAATATTAAAAATATCTAACTTCACAATAGTTTCTGACTAATTTTGCAAATATTTTGTATATAGTTTATCAAAACTCTTTTGTTAAGTGTAAAATAAAGTTAATTATTTGTGCTAGTATTTTCCAATCATCAGATATCTCAGCCTAGGTTAGACGATTACATCCACCTTCAAATTTATTTAGTTATTTACTTAGTTTTTCCAAGGAATAAAACATTATTATGTTTACTGGAATTACAGAATTGTACAAAAGGTAAAAACTTCTGTACAAGACCTCGCATTAGTTAATAATTAAAAGTAAACGATTATCATGTAAATATTAAGAATTAAGTGCCTTTTGTAAGTTAGATTTAAGTTACATTAATAACATTAAAATAAGTACAATGTGTCATGAAAAATATGAATTTGAGTACATACAAATTGCTGGCTGATTACGAAATAAATTTGTATTTTATAACAATAGCATTTTTATTTAAATAAATTATGAAACCTCCTTACGATGATGACAGACCGAAATAAAAATTACTTATTTTTTATACTAAACATGGCGAAGGCAAGGAAATTATACGAAACCTTTAGTAATTTTTTTCAAAAGTGACGCGAAAAAAAGAAGAAATGAATTCCCCTTCTACTGTTGTTTATTTAAATAAAATATACCTGGCAATTTTAAATTATTCATTAGATGTTCACAGACATCGCCTTTAAAAAAAAATAAGCCAGCGCTTGACCACGATTCCACCTAAGCTAAGTGAAGTCGCGCCCGAAGGATAGATATATAATTATATTTATAATTTAATTAACTTTATGTTTATTTTATTGCGATACTTCACTTGGATATTTAATTGTTATCCATTTGGCGAGGGTATAAAATAAATCTCATGTATTATCGTCAATTGCAGAGTGTAGAAATGTTCAGAGCTGTCAAGTGCGTCGTAAAACCTTATTGATTTTACGATAGCTAACTCTGGGTTTCAATTGTCTAAAATCATATTCCTTTCCTCTCATTCACATTGAATTAAAAAGAGACAGCGATATGTATTATGCCTGGAATTCACGGTAGTCAAGTAAAGTTTCCATTGGTTTTGCTGAGATGTACGGAATGTATCGGCGGGTTATCAAAGCGCACTAGACGCGCAATAAAATAATTTGATTACCGTTAGACAGCGATAACATATTACGTCGTAAACTTTAACTCAATTAATTTCATAATCGAAGACTATAAAGGATAATTAATTTCAATCTGGCTTACAATTTACGATTCAATTTTAAAGGTCGAAGTTCACTAACTACTAATTATTGCTATTAATTTGAGTATCATGGTTGGGAAATTAGTAATTATTGCTGTTTCTGGCTCTAAATGGGGACTTCAGGGCAATGATGATGTCCTAAAGTCAAAATACGTAATATAGGAAAATACCAGAGATATTAGAGTAGCAATTTAAACCGATTACATATTCATTAAGCTTTATATTAGGTCTAGCTGTTCCCGTGCGGATTCTCATACTAATAGGCTCATGCGGATGAAATTATAAAAGCCTTATTGTTTACATTTGTCAAATTCTCAATTGCAAATGTCAAAATTACTTTAAATAATGAAATGAAAATCCTTAATGTTGGCAACTTGTAGTTTATGGCCCCTTTCCCATATGCTTTTTCCCAATTTATTTACCCCCTAAGTTTAATAGCGTGAAAATATATGGCCTAAAGTGTGTAAGCGTAGGGGCTTTTTATTAAAAAAAATATTAGTTATTCAAAAATATGCTATGATTGCTGACATCCTACGCCATAAAGTAGTGTGTGTTTACGCTTTATTATATTAGTATAGAAGTATAGATATAGATAAAGAAATAATATAGAATACGCGATATGAAGTATAGATATTTAAACGACACTTCCACACGTCTATTCAAAGTCATCACATACTTTATGTGATTAAGATGTGCACGAGAAAGCGATGCTCGTATGCGAAGACTTTGTGAAATTTACGGTTTATTTGAGCGGAAACTTTAGGTGGACAGATAACCGATAACCGATGACGTGGAAACGGAAGCCTTAACAAGTTCAAGTGCACGTCAGTTGTGAACTGGCTCGTAATTTATTCGGTAGGCGGCTTAGGAATGAATGGGCGCACGAGAGCGGTAAATAATTGGCGAGACGCGGTTGCGTAATGCAATAAATGACTCCTTCAGTTGTTCCGCGCTTCGTAATAAAACGAATACCAACAGGGAGGTCTAAACATCTACTAGGACTATTTTTTTAAATACTTATGCTTAGATAACGTCTCCCTTTAATATTCTCTTCTAAATGCTTTAATATTTTTTTTCCAATCAGAAATTCTATTCTATAATATGATTCGTTAAGTATGCTTAAAGATTTTTTTAAATGTACAGACTAAGTAATTGCATTCAAAGAGAATAAGACGTTTTAGTATGATTAATACTGTATAGAATAAACAAGGAGAGGACCTAGTCTTGTATATTTTAAATTTAAGTACACGCTAAGATTCATGACATCAACTTGTTCACATGTTGGTAGTTTACTTTGCATTATTTTAGCAAATATCTTGGTATTTTTATTAATGTTTTATTTTTAGTAATCTGGTAGTAATCCATGGATACAGGTGTTTGTTCGATGTAAAGATAAAAGTAATAAATAAATGGTGATTGTAGATGGCGGTAGTGGCGCCAGCGTTCCGCTGCATGCGGACGCAGAAACTGTACAAGTTATAGCTATTTATTGCGTCCCATAAATTATCTAGTGTTGCATCTAATGCTCTACACGTTGCGTTATGTATTATAAAAATCACATTATCATATTGTATTAATGATTAAATGAGATTTTAATATCTGTATAGAAAATTATACAGAGATCTAGTTTATTGAACTCTCAATAGGTCATTTAGATACATAACGTATTCCTCTAGTTGTACTGGAGAAGCCACCGAGGGCGTTATAATTTGATATTGAGGTGTAATTGGGATTGGGAGAGAGGTAATTTGATAACGCCCTTCTTTGATTCCGTATATATGATAACTATCTTGGGACAGTAAATGCAGCGGTTTCCCCTTGCCTTCTGCACCAGCATTTTTTGGGACCATTTATATCCCAAGGCTTGCTGTAGCCTCCTCCAGCTGGTTTCCCAGCTGGGCGTGTGGCTATCCCGCCACTGTTCGTTAACTGTTTGTTAACGCCATACGCGTTATCAAATTCTGTGTCTAGACTGTGTTGAAGATTTCCTCCTGAAACAAAAAGGTACAACGAAATGTATAAACACATTTGTAGTTACGACATTTCTTGGGATTATTACATTTTATGAGGTTATATATTAGGTATGAGATTTTTGGATGACAGCAATATACTGTATGATAACTGACATGTACCAATACCAGTAAAATGTATAGTTATAGCTTCTCCATACATACATGAAGATACTTTTAAAAACTTCAAACTTGTTTATTATTTAACCTTTAGTATCCGAACAATTATAATAATTAAAAAATTCTATGCATTTCATATGCTTACAATAATTATGAATTCAATATTTAATCAATAGTAACAACTTTCATTTGTAATATATTCAATAGAAGAGGTTATGAACACGTGACCTGCGCGCAAATTTAGCGTCAATTATTAAATGTAATATATGAATTAATGATAAATTGATAGCTCAAGTGAAAGCATTCCTAATCAGATACGATATGTCACCGACTGATTGTAAACGCTGACAATTTATAATTCGACTTTATTCGAAATTAACTAACCACAAACAAACTAACCAAATCTAAAATTAGAGAGGGCGCACAATTGTTATGCGATTGTCGATTGTTTCGCCGAAAATTCAACTGTTTAGTTACACAACTAATCGAGTAATGCACACCTCCATATAAGCGCATAGAAATCATAGCGCGACTAAACTGTTGTGCGATAGTTTCTTGTGCGCGCTCTTGGATGTAATGTGATTCTAAATTAAAATTTAATTTAACAACGCAAAAAATATTAGTCCACAATTAAGTACTAACATGACACGTCAAATTGTATATTTTACCCAGTTTTTAACCTATGTAAATTTTGAAAACACTTAGTCAAGTTTTAAAATGACGACATACATAAACGCTCAGTCACACAATATTGCTGGAAGCTATGCTGGATCATGTTGTATTGTCAGCCACAATTATATTAAGAAAAGTCGGTCGATGTTTGAGGCCCATTTGAATGTGGCTCAGCTTACGCGAATAATGGCGGGAAAATTACAAGATCGTAACCGTTACTTACTAAATACCTAATATATCTAAACGTCAAAATTTAGTCGAGATGCAATAAAATTATTTTAGCGATTATTTTAATTGTGGCTTTCCATTCGCAAAGGAATGTCAGAAATGCAGTCGGCTTCTGGATTTTCTTTTTTTTAAAATACTAAAACTAACCCGTCTTAGTATTATTGTGTTGTTTTTCTCTTGTTTTACCCATTCTTGGCCTTTCAAGAGATATTGTATACGTAATTGGAAGAAAATAGAAAACCTCTTAAGTACTAACAAAAGATAATGTTTAAGGGCAATATTCATAAAGTCAAAAACCAATAGAATGCTGACAGTAAAATTCTAGCTTGGTACTTGAAATAGAAATTGTCTGTTATATTGACAAGCTGAAGCTAGCGTAATTTCAAATTTACGACAATGTCCTTCTCGACCCAGATTTAAAACAATCTTATTTAATGACAGAAGTGAAGTGAAATTCCATCGCCATAATCATTCTAATATTATAAATGCGAAAGTTTAGATGGATGGATGTTTGTTAGAGTTTGTAGCCTAAACGGCTGAACGGATTCCTATGAAAGTTGGTATAGGTGTATAGGATATTCAGGGAGAACACATAGGGAACTTACTTTTGTTTTTTTTCCAATTCCACACGGACGGAGTCGCGGGCGAAAGCTAGTAATAAGATCTATACTACCTTTTTCCCGCAACTCCGCCCGCGCGGAAATAATACAAGAGACCACGAAGTACAAGTAGCATATGTCTTTCTAGACTCTGGTATACATCTGAGCCAAATTTCATTAAGATCCTGTTTTGGAGATACGTAGTAACAAATCATCCATCCATCCATACTTTCCCATTTATAACAATAGTATGATTTATACTTATATCACAATATAAACAGCAAACATTTATAAGCCACCAAAAACAGAAAAGAGAAGTTTATTTTTGCATGAAAGCCACACAAGCCAAACCACATTTATGTACATACATTCTTCAAAAGTTTAAACCGTAAATGTAAAAATTGGATTTAAATTTCTAAAGGTAAATAACATTTGAACATAACAATTGATCTATAAAAAGACATAA